ATAGGATTGGACAGCAGGCACTGCCTATATAAGTCTTCTCCATAAGAAATAAAAACTTTCTGTGGTGGCCTTCAATTCGACATTAAGACATATCGACGACGCATTATCAATGAACAAAAATACTTTCATTCATATGTCAACTTGATATATCCCAGTAATCTTGAAATAAATACACCACAGAGTCTGCCACATCTGTTTCATATTTGGGTGTTTACTGACTATAGACGATTAGAGCCAACTAACAACTAGTATGTATGACAAACAAGATGGTTTCAGCTTCTCCATCGTCAACTTTTATGAAATAACATTCCGCTATCACCTACGTATGGTGTTTCCATCTACCAGCTTATTTGATATTCATAATCAAGAACATGCTCCGAGTACAATCAGTTTTTAAACCGAGGCAGACTACTGACAGATAAGTTGAGGTTGCAGCGATTTTAACAACCTTGTTTAACAAGGTCCCCTAGGCACCTGATACCACCTCTGGAATTTTCAAGGGTCCGTGTTTTATACCCAGTTCTCAGAATTATATTGTTTATAGATTTTTTTTAGATTGATCACGTTCGTTATCTTTGCCTTTTGCATCCAGACTATCCAATACTTGGATGAACCGTAAATCATCCGTACCTATCACAATAGAGTGGTATATTTCCAAAAGCTGATTCACTCCTGAATGGTCTGGTAAAAACCCACTTGATATGTTTTTTTTTTTTTTTTTTTTTTTTTTTTTTTTTAAAGGGTAATTAAATAGATATTCAAAAATAATTCTTTCAAAATATTTTGCTTGTCTTTTTAAAACTCAACAAAGAAAATGGTCTATTACCACTATTTTGTCAATAAAAGTTAGATTTCTATGAAAAAAAATTACCATCTTACTTTAACATGCTATTAGCCCTTTATTGAGTACACCTTTCCGTAGACAGCGAATACTGGATTAGGAAACCAGGCACGACCTTTTCATATGGTAGCAATGACAATGTCAATAGTGTTGGGAATCTTTCAAGTCCACAGTGAAGCAATGTGAATGTGATAGGACTTCTGAACAATAAACAGAGTTGTAAGCGTAGTCATGGACATCGGTCTTTCAATAAACCTTTTATACACTTTTGATTCAATACTACCTTATGTAAACACACAATTGGATCTTCATCACAATTTCACCAAATTTTACTCTGTCGCTAGTCTATTTGAAAAGGTCAAGGAAAGTCCAAATTTGGATTCATGGACACCAGAATACAGGCTTGGATCTATCTGTCTCTGTCATGGATTTTGCAAATCAGGCTTTTTAAACCGCCATGTTTTACGGAAAAGCATATTCTGCTCGTTTGTTCCTTAAACTTTAATTTGCCAATAAAGGAACTGACACAGCAAATATAAGTAATATTCTTTATCAGAAAAAGGTCCAGTCTTGTTTTCCAACATATTTCAAGTTAAAGTCCACACCTTGCATTTTTTACAAAAATACTTCTATTATTGCTTCCAAACTTTTTAATTACAGAAAAAACTACAATGCCTAGATATCGAAATTTGAAACGTAATCCTCCGACATGTTCATTTTCTTCTCCACCTTACAACTATAGTCCTGACTATAGTCATTATTGGTGACGTAAATATAATCAATAATGAGGTCTTTAATCACTTATTGTAAAAGGACCAAAAATTTAGGAAACCCCGATCTTTCAACTAGCGTCATTTCATAAATATTATGAATTCTGTGGAAGACTACGCCAGGCGATGGACCAAACATGAAGAAGAAGACCTTGATACTAGTACTTTGTCAAAGTGGATTAAAATTATCAGAAAAATGTTAAAATCTCGCATAAAGCAATTAAGGGGCAATATGAAAACTATTCTTCTGTTTTCAATAAGTGAAGAAAAAATAGATTACATGATCAATATTAATTGGTCCCAGCTGACAAAGAAGTGAACAACATTGTCTTTTTGTAAGGCAAACATTTTTTATTGTATTTTAGAGGAACTGGGATTTAATTCTGAAGAGGTAATTCAACTTATACCCAAATCACCCGACCTTTCTAAGGAGGAAATTCTTCAAAATTATATTTCAGTTATAAATATTTTTTTAATATTACCAACAATCAAATTGAATTTAAATTACCATTTTTTCTACGTAAAATCCTTGCAAGAAAGATACATATAGCTGGCTCCAGTAAATGTTCTACCAAACCCTTTTCTTTACTCCTCACTAAAATATCGACGGCAACAAAGGAGAAATTTCGGGAGTACTGTATAAAGATATATTTGAGAAGTAGTTTAAATCAGATGTGAATACTTAAGAACTCTAAGAAACTTTTAGAAAATTTGAAATCACAAAATTTTATCCAAAATCATTAACATCAAAACGTTTGACCTTTCAACATTTATACAACCATTACCCTTAAAAAAAAAATAAAGTCCAGGCTTTTGACATATATCATAGACAACTGCTTTTTCAATAAAACGGGGCTCATAAATTGACTTACTTTGTCATTGGTCATGTGAATAAGTATTTTGTATTAAACTTTTCTGAATGTACAAACAAGTACTCCAAAGTTGACAAAAGTATTAAAAATATGCTCAAGTGTCTGATTGAATATATTTATGTAGTTTTTTGGAGATCACGTCTTCAACAATCTATCGAATTTTGATTCGATATATCCCTCTACACTCTAAATATAAGATACACTGTACAACAGAGTCTAATCATCTGTTTCATATTTAGTATTGTACTGGAAAAAGACGTTACTGTTAACCTTATAACAAAGCTCTCTGATAAATGTGACCACTTCAGCTTTTCTTTTATCGTCAACTTCCTTACTAATGTAGCAACTCCCCTTATTTATGTAGCAATACATGTATACCTTCATTACCTATATATCGGGTTTACGTCTCCAGTTCGTTTGATATGCAAGAACATGCTCTACTTAAGAACAATTTCTAAAACGAGGCAAGCTATTGACAAACAAGTTGATGGAACAATGATATCAAAAGTCTCGTTTAAGGTAAACATTTTGCAAGTTCTATGGTTGATACAATTACCTTGTTGCCAAATATAATCTGTCATTAAGTCGAATGCTGACTGATATTTTTCATAGTAATTGCTAGGCCATTATCAGATTATTTATACACTGAATTTCTCCGGATTTTTCCTTTTGCCCAATCATGACTATAGGGTATGACCGGTTGACAGAAAATGCTTACTTCTCCATTGCAGCTGATTTTTAGAGATCCATGTTTGCTCTGCTCCCGATTTGTATTGTTTCCGTGGCTTTTTGAGCTTGAGCATAATTACTGATTTCCATATTTCAAAGCGATGGATGGTTCATGTTTGTTTAATAATTAAGGAACATTAATTTGCTGAATTTTAAACAGTATTAGGGTCGTAACATATTTTTATATATGATCTTTCTACTCTTCAGAAATGTTCTTTTAATATTTAACTTTTATAGCTCACCTGAGCTGAAAGCTCAAGTGAGTTATATGATCACCCATTGTCCGGCGAATGTCCGTCTGTAAACTTTTCACATTTTCAACTTCTTCTCAAGAACCACTTGGACAATTTTAACCAAAGCTAGTACAAATCATCCTTGGGTAAAGGGAACTCTTTATTGTCAAAATGAAGGACCAAACCCCATTCCAATAAGAGATAATCAAGAAAATACAAAAACAGGGTTGGGCCATTAAAATCTTCTTCTCAAGAACCACTGGACCAAGAAAACTGAAACTTTTGAAACTTTTCAGTGGAAGCATTTTGAGGTAGTGCAGATTATTAATTGTTCAAATCATGACCCCCGGGGAAAGAGTGGGACCACAACATAGAATCAAAGTTTTACATTGAAGGATATAGGAGAAATCTTTAAAATCTTTCTTCAAGAAACATTGGACCAGGAAAGCTGAAAGTTATATGGAAGCATCCTGAGGTAGTGTAGATTCTAAATTTTTCAAACCATGGCCCCCGGTGGTAGGGTGGGGCCACAATAGGGAATCGAAGTTTTACATTGAAATAAATAGGAAAAATCTTTGAAATCTTCTTCACAAGAACCACTGAACCAGGAAAACTGAAACTTATGTGGAAGCATCCTAAAAAAGAGTTGATTCTAAATCATACAAATGGTTCCCCCTGGGGGTCGGATGGGGCCATAATAGGGATTAATAGGGATTATATAGGGAAATGTCTTTAAAACTCTTGAAGAACAAATCCATGATGAATCATATTTATGTTGAAGCTTTCTCTGGTTGTGAAGATACAATTTTGTTCAAATAAAAGCCACTGTTTAGGGTAAGGTCATAAAAGGCAATAAAAATACAGAAAAATACATGTATACATGCAGAACAGCAGGGCTACAGTGACTAAGGTGAGCGGTGTGGCCCATGGGCTTCTTGTTTAATTTTGTTTTTCAGTTTGGTTTACCCTTTCCAAGCTTGAAATTAAAAAAAAAAAAAAAAAAAAAAAAACAAACAAACAAACAAACAAACAAACGAACAAAGGTTACGGTGTTTGTCTTATAATGTTATTAGTTTTAAATAAACTCTTCGATGACAATTTTTTTTTTATCAAATTAGAGCATGATGATTAAAATTGATGACTCAACGTCAATTTTTAAGTAGTTAATTTGTTCAAGGGTACGCTACCATCTCAATGGAATTTATGATTTGATAAATTTTTGAATATGCAAGATAGATAAATGATGTACTCATATTTCTATAGAATTACTCATTAAGCCTCTTGAATCATTCCTTTGTACATGGACTGCACAATACAGTCTCAAGAAGCATGTTAACCGCTTTTTAGTGCATTTGCTCATAAAAGAAAATCTGAAGAAAATCTGAAAAACTATAATACAATTCTAATCAGTCTGTAGGTCGTTACAGGCTCAAACGAACCAGGAGGCTCTTCGTAATGAAATCCTTTTTCTAAAGGCTTGCTCGATTTCTAAAATCACTTGCCGTCAGAAAAAATTCCATGTGAATATATATTAAAACAGGAAACAGGATATTAACTCTAAGTGAAAGCGGGAAAATCCCAGTTACATAATTTAACTGAGGCCACGAAGAATTGTTGATTTGACAAAATGGAGTATCTTGGCATCGGAAAAGACGCACTCTTCGTGTTTGATCAGGTGGCCGGAGCTTTGGGTTATAAGAAGAATGGACAAAGTAGTGGTGCAGATGTAGTGAACAAGGAGATCACAGAAGCACTAAAAGCTCTTCAGAGATCAACTCTTTTCCTAAGAATCGGTGGACTGTCCGGTGCCTTAGCAGTTTCAATGGCTGCGTATGGAGCTCATGGTATTTATTGCACATACTTTGCTTTCATTTTTTACATGTGTGAGTACAAATAATTTGTATAATGCTAAACGATTCATTAATGTTTGCATATACTTTTTTCTAGTCTTGGGGCACTGAGGAAAAAACGAAACAAAATGGGGGATTTTATATTGTAAACTGTAAACAGTTATATAATGCTTGGAGTGGATTTCACCGCACCTTAAAGAATGGAGATAGCCAGGAGGGGGGGGGGGCAACAACAGTAAAAAATTGATCTGTTGTGTTATAGTCAAACATGCAAGGATTTTCAACCTTTACATTGCATGGTAAAATCGGAAGTAATAAAAAATTACTTGTGGTATGCAAGTAATACTTCTTTTCAAAATAATTTCATACCTGCTCTGAAGTTCTTATTTGCTTTTGAAATAAGTAAAGTATTAAATCTAAATTGTATATGCTCGTTTTCTATGTGTATAGAAAAAGTCAAACGTTTTGTGGATGCTTATTCCTCCAAGGCAACTCATCCCACCTCTGATGTTTAAATAGGTCCTTGTTTTTGCCCTGTTCACGATTCGTTTTGTTCACTGAATTAATGAGAATAATCACTTTTCGTTAACTTGACTTTTTACTCTCTTTTAATTTTTGTCGTGAAGAAAAAAATCTTATGCTTATCAATTCTTTTTAATAAAACATTGCAGTGACATATTTAACGGGTGAGAACCATTTTAACATGTCACAGAGATCTACTTTTTTTAAAATGCACATACTTCGGCCGAGGAAACTGCATCATTCGGTGACATTCAATAATTGACATTCTTTATTTTGATAGATCCCGAATTGCAAAGCAACTTGCAACGTCGGCAGGTAAAGTATACATTTTTTTTAATTACTACATACAGTCCAATATTGATCATAATTATTCGTTATCTTTTTGCGATGGAATATCCCTTATAAACAGTACATAGTGTATGCACTGTTGATAAAGAGAAAAAAGTAACAGGAGTTAAACTTCCATTGTATGATTGAAATTATCTGAAATGTTTCAGTTAAAAATCAGTAGAAACATTATGGATGATCGTAACTCGCAATGATGTTCATGTAAATTCTATATTGTAATTTTTGAATTTACCTGGTGGTAGTAAATACAAAAATTACAATATATAATATAAACATGCTTTGAATCAATGCAATTAAAGTCAGCATTTTAAAATCAAATTTTCCCGTAGGAATGCCAATTCAAAGATATTGAAATGGAATACGTTTATCTAATTATCATGTTTTATAAGTGAATTTTGAAATTCTGCAATCCATGACATATGAAAATTATGTAACCGCTTACTTCAAAACGGGACACACTGTATCCTGTTAAAACCTTGAACTAAATTTGCCACTCTTTGTTTGTAGATATACGAGAAAGGATACAAAATGCAGTTGGTGCATTCTGTTGCACTTGCCTATTCAGAGAATTGTAACAAACCATTTTTGGTAAGTAGATATGGGTTTTCCATCCAGTATTTTTTCTAGAACCAACTTGCAAGATAGAAAGTCTAGTTGGTTCTAGATTAATGTGGACTACGCAGTAATGTGGTTAGGCATCCATTACCTTTCGTAGTCCACAAAATACGGTAACCATCAAATAGTCAATATCATCTCAAAGACCTTTGACACAGTTGGTAAAAAGCAAACCGCACTATAGGAGGTCTCCCTGCTTGTAAAGAGGGATAACCAGGCTCCGGGCCATAAAACGTAGCCGAGCTCACTTTTGATCTCAGTCTCACTTTTACAAAAGGAATTAATAGTGGAAAAGTAAGACTGAGATCAAATGTTAGTTGATCTAACTATTATGGCCCCGGGGCCTGAGCATCTCTGTAATGAAATGTGTATGTGATCGCTTGCATAAAATATATGAAGATAACGAACAGTATTCAATCTCGAAAGTCCAATGAAACGATACAAATTCGGAGCAGAGCAAACAAGGAGCTCAAAATATAGAAGTGAGATCAGGTGCCATGGAGGAGTGAGCATCCCCTCCATGTTGTACTCTTCCCATTTTCTTGTAAATATAAAATCAACACATACTGATTCGTATAAGGATGATATTCTGTACAACTTTATGACACATTTACTGAGATAACGCTTGTTTAAGAGAAAAGAGGGGGGATTGCAATGATACAGATTGTTTTACTACAATGGCGTTTTTGCTTACATGTTGTTAGAATTTTCTGCTTAAATCATGCATTTTTACCAAATATTTTATGTACTAGTATTTTAGAATGCAATCCAGGTGCCTTCTTAAAACATTTAAGCAAAGCCCACTCGCTAACTTAACAATTGGTGGTTATTTTTTTTGTTTGTTTGTTTTTTGTTTTTGGTCTTTTTTGTTAATGATAATCAACTCCCATGACTGATTTCATTTCACTTTTAACAATAATTTTAATAGGAAACCCAGGTCTAGCTCGAAATAAACCCCATAAAGCCTGCCACATCTGCTTCAAACTTCGATATTTCAGCGACTATAGATGCAAACGGCCAACTAACTTTATGACAAATTGGACGACTTCAGCTTTTTTCATTGCCACCTTAACCTGTTTATGTTTGTTTGTTTGTTTGTTGTTTAACATCCCTCTCGAGAATTTGTCACTCATATGGAGACGCCACCACTTGCCGGTGGAGAGCTGCAAATTTTGACCTATACTCGGCACTCAGGGCCATTGAGCAGTGGGGGACCTTTTTCGTGCCAGCACCTACTGAGACACGGGACATCGGTTTATACGGCCTCATCGAAAGGACCGGTCTCCACGTCCAACAGTGGGATTCAATCCCGCGACGTAAGGATCAACTCCTTACTCCGCGACTCTAGAGCAAACGCTCTAACCACTGCACCACGCGGGCGACCCCTATTTATGTAGTATTTCACAATTCCCTGCATATGATGTTAATTTCTCCAACTGATTTGATACGCAAAAGCATGTTTTGAGTATGATCAATTTTTAAACAGAAGCAGGCTGTTGACGAATAAGTTGGTGTTACAGGGTTTTCAACTTTCCACTTTAAAGCCAGCCTTTTTCAAATTTGTTGGTCGTTATGACTTTATTTCCAAATACAACTCATCTTTGGGTCATATATTTACTGATATGATTCCCACCAATTGTAAGACCATTGATTTTTGGCCATTTTTACTATGGAATACTTTGTTTACCTGATTGATACGGAGGGCTCACGGTGGGTGTGATCGGTCGACAGGGGATGCCTTCTTCTCATCGGCACCTGATCCCATCTCTTGTGTTTGCAGATATTTGTGTTTTTGTCCCGTTCACGATCGTATTCTTAACCGGATTTATGAGATTAATCATTACATGTATTTTGTATCTTCACCTTTTACGTGTTCATTGATCCATTCCTTGGAGAAGCTTCTCTCGCGGTTGCTAGGTCATGCATGTTAATTCTTTGAGAAAAACGAACACTTTAGTTTCAAACGCTACTCATCCTACAGCTTTGGTCTGATTTCAATGTAACTTGGCACACAATCAGACTACAATAAGGTACATAATTCGGTAAATCGTTTTTATTTTATTTGGTTAAACGATGGTTAGGAAAAATTGATATTTCTGTGAATTACCTTCAAAATGCTACAGTTCCTATAGGTTTGGTCTGATTTCAATATATCTTGGCACACCAGCAGACTACACTATGATACTTAATATATATATATATATATATATATATATATATATATATATATATATATATATATGACATATGGCTTTAGGAGACCAAGGAGGATATATTTTCTGGCTTAGGGAGACCACTGGATTAAGGCGACCTTTTTCGGTCTCCCTATTATTTTGACCTCATCAGTATTCCAAATGTCTTTTTATAGATAAATAAACAGTCTGCCATTAAATACTATTTATCTTTAACTCTGTTATTTAACATTCAAAAGTTGTCTAATTTCTATCATCTTCCCTAAAAAAGAAAAGAATTTATAACCTACGTATAATTTCAAAGGATAATTTTTCTGCATTTTGGAGACCATGAAAAACATGCAATAAAACAAAAAATCTAGCATATATATTGTTTCCGCTTTTGATTTGTTCAAATGAGTGTTTCTTTAACTTAGTTTTCCATGTTTTATGTTAAAATCCTAAAAAGGAAAAATATTGTAAATTTATGGACCATGTTTTGAATTCTTAGCAAGTGCTTTCCGTCGTTTGTTCCGAATGCCATCGGAATGCCCCTTCAGTTTTCAGAAAATGACCTCTGAACACCATGGATGTTGAGAAATTTGGGTAAGTAACTTAAATGATACAGTAATAAGTTGTAATTAAGAATACGCAAGACAAACATTCGTTTGTTTGTTTTTTTTTTTGCCTAGTAATTTGGCTTTCAAGAGAAAAAGTATGATTTTAAATAATCGTTAGACTATAGTTCGGTATATTAAATCCTGAAGGAAATTCGAAATAAAGTTAAATGATAGGCCCCTATATTTTTTAATTCTTTTATGCAAGTCCACAAACAAATTAAATATTTAAAGATTAGGCCGAACGTAGAAAAAAATAGTCTCGCAAGTTGACGCAGCTACTGTGAGCTTAAAAATTTAAATTAAACTTTCTTTAAACATCATGCAGGACATGATCATCTTGATATAGTATAAATGAAACAGACCCTGTAAGAAAAAAAATAGCTGTAATTTAATAATTGTTTATTAATATAATGTGGTCCTCTGCTGATAAAATATATATGCAGTAAAAAAATCTGAATTAGGGTGAAGCAGATTTGATACAATACATGGCTGAAAGAACGGGGGGGGGGGGGCTGTAATTTTGCTGAAATTTACTTATACATGTACTATAGAAAACATTGCTCCTTTATGCTTGGACCCCCTCAATAAAAACCTCTGATGATCTATTTTTCTTTTGCTTTTGGGCCCCCTCAATAATAACCTCTGATGATGTATTTTTCTTTTGCTTATTAAGAATTTTTGGTTTGTAGCCTCCCCCAACCTGAAACTGAAAAATGTTGTTTGGTTGTGTTCACCCCCCCCACCCCCCCCAACTAAATTTACGTACGGGTCTATTCTCCATCCCTGAGGTTTTCTTTCTCCAAAGAAAGATTAATTGGTAACAGTTCAGATATATCACTGTATATAGCAATATTTACGGAAGGGAATATTCTCGTTTAATTATGAAGATGTGACAGTAACTCAGTCACAGCCACAGTGAGTGTAACATTTATTTAATATTATTGTTAATGTTTGCAAATAGTGAAATACTGATACTATGAAATTTTAATGGATACATGTATATAGAAAATATACAAGTACAACCATTTATTGTAAATCACATACATGAAAAGCTTTTTTTGCCCCAAGCAATTGGAAATTCTTCATTTTTTTCATGAAATTATTTTATTTCGTATATATAATAATTTATTTCGTATTTTAATTCAGTCAACAAATCATTGTTGCAGCCTAGTTCCCTTCATTATTTTCAGCAGTTCAGCGACAGAGATAATTAAAATGATCATTTGAGGTTTATACCCCCCCCCCCCTCCCCACCAAATGAAACTGAAAAAATGTTTGGTTTTGGTCCCCTTCAACAGTTCAACTGAAATTGATTCCTACTTACCATGCTTCCAGGCTTAACTATGAAGATGTGACATGGAGTGTAATAACAATTGTTCAGACGGATACATAAACTGATATACGTATCAAATTTTAATGGATAGATAGAAATTAATATACAATTACAACCATTTATTATAATCTACATAAAGATAATTTTTCAAGCAATTTGAAATTCTTCATTTTTTTATGCTAATATTTTATTTCGTATATATGTTTATAGGTTTATTCGTATCAACAAATCTGTGTACGAGTTAATAACGCAGCCTGGTCCTGCATTTTCAGTGACAGAGAACCAGAATAAGATTGCAGGGAAACAAGCCTTGTTACAAGGTTTGAGGTTTGTTTATTTTATATTTTAGATTTACACTTTTTAAAAATTATTATTATTATGCAAAACTCTGTGTGCAGATGAATTGTAGTACGACTGCTACCCCAAGAGGGGAATAATAAAATACTCTGCTCCTGGGACAGTCGGGTTCGGGGTGACTGTCACTTGTCAGTGACTATTTACAAAATCTGATACACACAAAGTAAGACAAAGATAACAAAGATTTGATGGATGTTTATTTACTATGAATAAATATGAAAAACTGGTACCTCCAGTTTTACGAAGTATAAATGGAAAAAAAATGGGATGATTGATAATGAAATTTTGAGAGGGTTTAATTTAATAATTTGGAAAATAAAGATGTTTGAACTTTATTAAGAATTTTACTTGATAATTTGTTGAATTTGGATCGGGCTCGGAATTCCTAATATTTGGATTAAGTATGGCGCCTAATATGAAGAGGATAAAATTTTGAGAGAAAAAATTAGTAAGTTATTGGGATGTGCCCTTAAAAATGATACCGAAATCGGT